AAAAAGAAAAGGACAAGACTAAACCTGGGAAGCAGGGAGATGGACACTGACCCAAAACTGTGCTTTCAAAAACAGAATAGTTTTTGTCTCTGCACAAGAGATGACCTAGCTGACAAGACTACCCCGTGTCACTGTGACACACTCCCAGATATAGTCCTGCTAACAGTGTTTAAAACAGATCCCAACCCCAGGGGGAGACAGCAGAGAAATGGGGAGGATCAACAACCAGAGCACAGAATAACTACCAGCGGGGCGGCGACCATCCCCTCCTCCTGCACCCCAACTCACAAAGCACTAAAGCACATGGGAGTCACCTCACTTTGTCATTCCTTCCCTCCTGCATTAAGGTGCTAATAACAGTGGTGCCAGGGATCTGGGAACTGGGGTGAGGGGCTAGGAATGGAAGAGGAAATAAAAACTACTAAGATGCAACGTGTATATGTACCAATTCCCCCAAAATGAAGGCAATTATTATACATGGCAAACATATGCTAATTTTAAAAAAGAAATTAGAGAAGCACAAAAGCAATGATAAATTAAACACACACACACACACACACACACACACATGCAATGGAGCAGGCAGAAGAATAGGATCCTCTTAGCAAACCCTATTGGCAGAGGCACACATTACCAGTCCTTCAGCTGTCTGCCAGGGCAGGTCCTGGGACAGAGCCTGCAGGACAAGGGACTTGCTGCTGGCTGGCTGTGCTGCCCAGATCAGTCTCCGTGGCTCATTTATCAGACAAGATTGATCAGTGACAAAAGCTGCTTGGGGCGGAGTGGGGGGCAGCCAGGAAATGCCCATCTCCTGGGCTGCACCTCTGGGGTGGTCACCAGAAACATCTGGGAACCATACACTCACTTTCACAGAAGTACTTTAAAGCATGCATTATTTTTAAAAACATTTCTTCCTTTGATGCCAATCTGTATTATGTTTTAAGACTAATAATGACAGTGTCTTAGTCTGTTTTTCATGGCTGGGATAAAAATATCTGACAACCACGAGATAAAGGAGGGGAGATTTATTTTAGCTCCATCTCCAGAGGTTTCAATCCATAGTCAGCCAGCTCCAAGGCAGGGCAGTGGGGCAAAGAAGTGTCACAGAGGAGAAGTGCTCCATGGTGTGGTGGGCAGAAAGCAGTAGCAGCAGCGAGCCTCTTCTTACATCCAGTCCGCAACCCTATTCCTTGGTCCTACCCTACTCACAGGCAGGATTGGTCTTCTGTTTTAAGTAGATCTATTCAGCCACACCCAGAATTATGCAAATCCAGATATCATGCACTTTTCTGTTTTAAATAAATCCATTCAGCCACACCCAGAATTATACAAATCCAGGTGTCATGAGCCCATGATCTCATCACCTGCCCCTGGCACCTGTGAATGCATGAGGCTTTGGGGAACATTTTCGATATGAGGCATAACAGATGGAAATCCACGTTGTTATGATTATAAATCATAACACATGTTAAAACCAGAATTTATTTTCAGTGTTGTATGTGGACTATAAATGTGTTTCTTTTCTCAATGAATAGATAGTGTAAGTCATACTTGAATATTCACAGCATCCCAGCAATTTAATTAAACAATAAAAGATATTTAGGGCTGGGGATGTAGCTCAGTGATACAACACCCGCCTGGCAAGTGCAAGGCCCTGAGTTCAAGTCCCATTACCAATAAGTAAATAAATAAGATTTTTATACACATGATTTTATTATTTTTTTTTTTTTATTTATTTGAGAGAGAGAGAGAGAGAGTGTGGTGTGTGTGTGTGGCCAGCTCAGCCCACCAGGGGGTGGGGCTGGCTGGCATGTGGGGCTGGGGGATTGAACCCCGGTCCCTGATGCTTTGCCAAGCTAGTTCCAAGTAGGTGCTTTAGACCACTGAGCCATCTCTCCAGCCCATACACATGATTTTAGTATCCCAGGGAGGAGACTGTGAAGTTAAATAAAATAAAAAGCAGAGGAAAAAACAAAAAGTATTTTAGTTGAGACAAAAATAATATGTTTTGTTATTTAAAAATAATTGTTCATAAAGTCTTCACCTTGACCCTTGGAAATCAGGATTCAACCTTCCACCACATGCTGAAGACAGCCAGCCACACAGAAACCTGGGTTTAACAGGTGTTCTATCCTGCACAAATTCTAACCCTAAAATATTTATCTGTAATGCTCACAAGAAAGAAAATAAATCTGTAAAAAACATCTTTTAGGGGCTGGTGAGATGGCTCAGTGGTCTAAAGCATCTACTTAGAACAAGCTTAGCAAAGCACAGGGACCGCGGTTCAATCTCCCAGCACCACATGCCAGCCAGCCCCGCCCCCTAGTGGGCTGAGCTGGCCACAAACACACACACACATAAATAAAATAAAATAAAAAAATTAAAAAAAAAAAAAACCACATCTTTTATTCTTTGAAAAGCGCGTTTTATTTTGATACGCATCTTCAAGGCCAGAGCTACAAGCACTAATCCTAATTCCAAAGGCGAGACTTCCTCTTCGTTTGTGCAATGGCTTCCAGGTGAATAGGGACCCACCCTTAAGAGAGGCATCCGCAGGTGTGCATCCGCAGGTGTGCAGCCAGCCCCACCTCTGGGGTAGACAGCGCCTGTGGCACTAAATCACAGCTGCAGCTCATTAAGCCAGCTGCTCCTTCTTCACTGTAATTAGGGCTCCCTTTCGGACCTTCCCTTCCGACCCATCCCTCACCCAGGCTTCCCTGCAGGACCTGGGGGGCGGGGTTCCCTGCCATCCAAGTGATAAGCCTGCGGGCTCCTTTGCGCCCCCTCCCCTCTGAGGACCATCCGTTGCTGAAGTTCAGGCCCCTTTCCCAGCAGCCGCTCCCATCTGCACCCATGAGGTTATCGTTTCTCTGACTTCTAACCAAGGAGGATTAGTCATTCATGAAGCGGTGGATTTGCTGCGTCCTTAGTCCCTTTCTCACCTTCTTTTCTGAAAATGGATCAGCACAAGTCAGATCTGATACATGGACGAAAGTAGATCCTGAGCCGTTGGGTCTGCTGCTGGGGCTGAGCGCTACCGAGATGAGGATTTGAGATGTGAGTCCTCAGAGGTCTCCACCACACGCAAAGAGCAGTGGTGCATACTAAGAGGCTGCACTTGTCCTGCCCCGTGCCCGCTCAGCCCAGCGTCACCTCTTGTCCCTGATAGGTGTTTTCAGGTGTTCGGCATAGCAGAGAAACAGGCAGAAGGAAGAAGGGAAAGGGGCTTTATTTTCTTTGAGGACATGGGAGAGAATGTGGGGAAGGATGAGGAATCTTTTCTCTCTCTATTGGAACAAAGGGAGGCTGAGGCATTTCTGGGCTGTTGCCAGGGGTGGAGTTTGGAGGAGATGTTTAGATAGACCTGAGGGAGCTGACTGGGGTCTTCCCTGAGGCGGGAAGGGTGGAAGTAAATTACGTCGTGGGATAAGTTGGAGAAGAAGGGGAAGGTGGTCTTGGGGAAGATGGGCTTTGTTTTAAGGACTTCAGCCATATTAGATGACCACCATGATGACTTCAGCAATTCCTACTGGGCCAGAACCTGTCAGTCCGATAGAGGCGAGCGGCAGAACCGCACGATGAGCAGCTTCCTCTAGCCGGTCTGCAGTGCATCCATCCGCGCGTCAAACCAGCAGGCTGCGCGTCACATGCGAGCGTACTTGTCAATGGGAAAATCATTTTTAGAAGTACATAAACAGCTTTGCATTTCAGTAGAAGCCTAAAGGCAAGAAGAGAGAAAAAGAAAAGGCACAAGGAGGGCAAGGGGAGGG